ATATATATTTTGACATATCTTGTGTAAAATATTGTTTATGCTTTAAATAGATACAATAATTATTACTGTCTATATATTGTAAAGATAAACACGCGGTGACAAAGAGATAGCCATTCTTTTTTAAATGTAATCTATGTCTTGTCGTTTAGTAAAATGTTCATAAAAATTCAGGTGCATATAAATTCAAAGCTTATTAGTTAATGTTTTGTGACTGTTAATGTGTACATATGAAACAATGTTCGCGAAAGAATTTGATGATCCAATTCGACAGAGAATAAAAAATGTCGAACTTAAAGTATAAAATATGTCAATATGTCAATACAAGTAATATAGAAATATTTTAAGGATATAAGGTAAGTTTTATAAATAATTATTAAAATAGTGATACAAATAAGTATAATTCTAAAAAAAAAAATAAAAAATTATATATGAATTTTGTTTCTTAGATAAATTTTATATGACATAATGCTTTTTCATTAAAAATATTTATGAAATAAATTTTTTCATGTAATCAATATTTATATTAATATAAAATTTATCACATTTTGACATAATTTTGATATTTGTAATTTATAAAATAATAAAAATATTTATTTTACAGATTTATATTATATTAGCACAAAATGTAATGTTAAAAGTAATATTCTTATATTATTTTTACAATGGAAAAAGTTATACCAATGAGCTGGTTGAACCAGATATTGTTGGTTTTAAGTATATTATGTGCATTGTTATCTTTAATCATACAAGAATGGGCAGGTCTCACACCATTACCAATATATGTTTCTATTTTATGGGCTATTTTTATTATAATATTATCAGTATGGCTCAGTTGTTTTTTATTTCAACTTGCATTAAAAGCTAATAGTCCACTTAATATAAAATTTCTTAATAATTGGTTATATAAAAAATTTATAAATAATTTGAAATTACATGAATATAAAAAGGAAAATGAATGTAATAATAAATTTGAAAATGAAATAAAGATAAATAAAAATATAAATTCTATACAAATACCTCATAAAAAACAAAAAGAAAAAATGATCATTATATCTAATGAAAAGGAAATAAGCAATAGAAAAAAAAAGAGAACAGTAGAAATACATAATTTAGCGAAGGAAATACATTTAAAATGCATTAAAGTTTGGTATAAATCTATCAGTGATGACAAATCATTTCCTAATGAAGCACAAGAACTATTAAAAAAATTATTGACCAAACTATTTCATAAAATCAGTTTAATTGACAAAATAAAGCTTACTCATAAGCTGTCTAATGTGTTCTTATTACATTTAAAAGAATATCACAGGTATAATATATACATATATATATATATATATTTCATAAATATAATATATTTATGAAAAATTAATTATTATTTAACCTAATGATTGAACTACATTATAGAGCATTACGAAGAGTAGAAAAAGGAACTGCACCAAATTTAGAAGAAGCATTTAAATATTTGCATCCTGGTTCTCGTAATGTAGCAGTATTAGAGCATATGCTTCATCGAATGGTTACTATTCTAGCACAAGAATTTTTACAGTGGGAATTAACAAGTTCATTGCCATGTAAACTTTTATTATCTATCTTAGCAAAAAGATTATTAATAGTTATTGAAACAATAAGTTCTCCACATTGGCTATTTCAAAATTTATCAGATTTATTACAACCAATGGCAAAAGAAGTTGTTAAAATTCAAAATAAACAAGAAAAGAATGTATATTCACAATTCACAAAAGTATGTTTATAATATTTCAAAATGTTTATTATTTTATATTTTTTCACCATTATTTTCAATTAATGAAATGATTATTTCAGAAAGCTATATCTAATGCTCTAGGAGGTGGTATAACATCTGCAACAGCAGCTCTAATTCCACGATCGTTACCAAAATCAAAATCTGAGTCATCTAATGAAGCTTTAATTGAGCATGAAAATACCTCATTATCTATAAATGATAGGAGACCTACATTACGTTTACATAATTTAGCTACAGAACATAGAGGTCTATGGGGTCAAAGTATGGTAGAAGTAGATTCTGAAATAGAAGAAGATAAAATATCTCCTGTATATGAAGAACCTACAGATTTTGCTACAACAATTGCTAGACTTAGAACTGTATTACAACAAAAATCAACTGTGAATACACCTTTGTGAGTAGTAATAATTTTTAAATTTTTATAAAAAAATCAAATATATATTATATTTTTCAGACATGTTGAAGAAAAGTCTTATGTAATATATGAAGGTAGTCAATTTACAAATTTATCCATTCCATGGACAGAATTTCATACAGCTGTTGATGGTTCACAACAATTACTTTATTGTATTCAATTTGATGATATAGAACAACGTGGAGTTGATTTATTTGAAACTACAACTGCTACTGTTAGGAGACAATATCGCGATTTTGCTCAGTTACATACTAGTCTACAAGAAGTAATTTTAATATTCATTACACATATTTATCATTTATTATAAAATATTTTTTAATATTTTATATAATATAAATTTTATAGATTCCAGAATTAGCATCTGTTATGTCAAATTTGATTTTACCAGAAGGCGGCGGTCGTCTTGAATTAGAAAACTATTTGAAAATTTTAACTACACGCTTGGCTAACGAATGTCCACCACAATTACGACATTTTCTACGTCCAAGCAGTAATGCTAATAAAAAGGCAGACATAGTTGCACCACGATTTGATAAATTTTTGGTCAAGACAGTAAGTGGAGTTTTTAATACTTTAAAAACAGTCGTTCCAGGTTTTGAAATTGAACAAGAGGAAGAAAATATACCCTTACCTACATTAATGCCTTTAGCTGATATTCCATGGAGATTTGTCGAAGATATTAAATCGGTAAATAAATTTAATATTAAAGAGATGTATATTTAATTAATTTTATATTTCATAAACTTTATAAATAATTTGATTTTATATAAAAATTTTATCTGATTTTAATAGAAAAGTTTAGCAACAGAATTTCAAAAATTAATAACTGAAAGAACTGAATATTCCTGTGTGGATTCTGCTTACGAAGCTGTTGATTCAATGGAGAGTACTAATGATTCTGCATTATTAACTCATTGGTGGGAAATTGTAAAAAGTTCTTCTGAAGGTAAATATTATAAAAAAAATTAAACGTTTTAAAAGTTTAATTTTAAATTATTTTTATTTTTAGAGGATATTGACGAATTGGATTCACATTTAATATTAACAAGTGTTGCTGTAGATCTTATTTGCGAATTATTGGCAGGAATTGGAAGTAATAATGCCTTACAACAACAAACAGTTGTTAGATGGATAAAATTACTTTTTGGAAGTGTTACTGAATCTGTATTACAAGTAATAATTTATACTTTTTTTATTATGTTTTACTATTACAAGAAATTATTATTTTTATATTCATTTACAAATTGCGTTTAATTTACAGGCTATTACTTTACGAATTTTTGATCAATTGAGTAATATATCACTTCATACTGTACAAACTAAATTTTCTGAAGAACCATTGACATTAAAAGAAAGACTGTTACAAGAGCTATTAATTAAAATTCCAAATGATATAAAATTAATATTTGGTGAGGATGATACTTTAAATATTTTAAAGTATCTACTTGATTCTTATGAAATAAAGAAAATTAATATAGACTTAAATTTACAAATATTAGATGTTTTAGCATCACAGTTATTAAGTTCATGTAGATCGAATCATAGTAAAATATCTTTATAATTTCATTTTTATTTTAATTCGATAAAAACAGTCAATTCAATTCCTTTTTTTAATTCTACTAAACTATTATTGAAGTTAAAAATATTAGAATTGCTAGTTACCGAGATATATTTTAGTTAAAAGGAATTGATGTGCCATATGTACTAAATTTGTTGACTTGATATAATGTAGAATTATATAAAATTTTCCAAAACAGACTGTGTACCTGATTACATATTTATACTAAAGATGCCAAGTATTTTTTTCATTAATACAGGACTCTTATGAGTTGTATGATATACTTCATGTATATTAGGTACTACATGCATTTAAATTGTACATTTATATTTAATGTTTAAGTTTTGTACAAATATTTATGAAAAATTATTATATTTCTCAATTAATAAAAGTCTATCAATATATATCAAATGAAATTTAAATATGTAATGTGAAATCTTAATAAGTTAATATATATTTATGAATAATAATATTTAATTTATAATTTCATTATGATTCCTTTCCTTTGTTTTGAGCCTTTTGTTTCTCTAATTGTGCTCTGAAACAAATAAATTATTTAAAAAATTTTTTAAAATTATTTAATATGTTTTTTTAATATACATTAGTGTAAATATCTTAACATTTTAAAAAAATTTATATCGGAGAGAAGTTATTTTTGTTACAAACCTATCTATTATATTGAAAATATTAATACAATAAAACGTTTAATTATTTATGTATAATTTATTAAAAAAACGTTTTTCAAAAATAATATTAAAATTACCTTAATTGCTGATTAAAGTCATCTTCTACATCATCATCATCCCAGTTATCTTCCCAGACACTGATATCCTCGTTGTCTTCATCTACTGCAGTCCAATCTACAAAGTCATTCAACCAAATTGAGGTTAGAATACTATAAAAATACTTTTATTGAATTATAATAAATATACACGATACTGAATTATTTCACCTTCTGCAGGAAATTCTTCAAATTCATCATCTTCTTCTAATAATCCTAAATCAATCTTTGATTTATCGTTTTTACTTTCTGACATTGTGAAGTGAATTAATACAGATCGCACAATAGTAACGTTTTATAGGATAAAATATATTTGAATTTTCTAGATTTTTCTTCTCACTAAAAATAAAATATTCAATATTGATAACTTGAATTAAAAAAAGATATTGCTTATAATAAGATATAGTTTATAGTAAATTTCTTGTAAAATGAATAAAAACAAAGCAATATATAATATTTCTTATAATTAAAATAATTAATTATATAAAATATTATTAATGCAAAAATAATGTTTTTTTATTATATATATTGTTCTATTTTGTCTTTATATTTGATTATTATAAATATTGTCTTGTTTTTTTTTAATTAATGAATTCAGGATTCAAAAAAATTACATATTGAAGATATATACAATAAGTTTATCTATCATGAATTCACAATATTTATGACGCAAGTATAATATCTTTTTTTACGTAAATCAATTTCTTCAGATATGAATAAATTCAATAAATTTATTGAAAATTTTTTTTGAATAAAGCTAAATTTAATTTTGAATTAAATATTTTAATATATTTTATTATTTATAGTTAAATAACATTTAGTGAAATAATATATGTAACAGAATTTATTTAAATTATATTATAGATATTTAAAATTAGCGCTAAAAAAAATTAAATCTTTGTTAAATCACCAGATTGCGTTGATCACGCTCATTGATTATAACATGCATATACTGTTTACTGTTTTGTATAGTTCAATAAAATATTACTGAAATAAATGTGTTAAGTATTGTACAATTAAATTATACATGAAAATATTGTGTAAAATAATAATTTTTAATCTGAAAATTAAAGCTATATAATTTAATTTTTATTAATCATACAAGCTACGAATAATTAAGACATTAAAAATGATTAAATATGTTCGATTACTTTATCATAAACAATGGAAATTTCCTTATATCCTTTTTTATATGACGTAGTATAGTTATCACGTAATATTTAAATACCTTTGATTTAATTTATCAAAAATTGACAATTGATTGGAATTTATGTCGATAAGCAAAAAGTGTACGTTTATGTCGCAGTGGGGCGACACATTAGCGTCGCAAATGGAAATAATATTACCAATCATTATCTTTTTTCCTAATCTTCCTATTTATACCGGTTGCACTCCATTCAGTTTCCTAGTGATGAAGTGATTCATAGTAGTTACTGAGTTTAGAGGAAGATAACTGTTAATCTACAATGGGCTTAGAGGATTATAAAGAACTTGTGGCATCATGTGCCTCAATTTGTACTATGGGTCAAATGTTATCTGGAACGTAAGTTGAAAAAATGCGAAATATTTATTTAATTTATGTTTTTTGAAAATATAACGTTTGATTTCTAATACAAGACATATTTATAAAAGAAATTATTTGAGTAATTCAGTAGAAATATTATCATTCTTTGAAACTTGCATTTTTTCCTTCCACGTGATAATAAATATAAGTGATTTCTCGCTTGTACAGTGTTTTTAGATCTATATATATGATAAATACACAAATTTAATACACAAATTTGTATAATGAAATTATAGTCATAAGATATATTTGTCATATATAATTTTATAAACCATTTAAGATCATATTTTTCATTTTTATCAATTTAATTTAAAAAATATATATATTATATAATAAATATAAATATATATTATATAAATAAAAACATTATATATATAAATTTTATATAAAAATTTTAAATATTAAATAATAGAAAATAATAATAGAAAATTTGATTATAATTTAATTGTTTAAATTTAAATGTCATTTAATTATAGATTGATATGTAAGGATATTTATCAAAAAGGCTCATCCAAAGGTTTTGATCCCATGCCTTTTTTAGGTGGTATAGGAATGTAAGTGTACTACTTTACTATTTAATACAAAAAGCATAATGATAAGTAATATTTAATAATGTTATTTAAAAACATTTATTTTATTAATTGTTTTATTCTGTTATATTGTATAGTAAAAATATTTAAATATATAAATATTTTTGTTCATAATTGAAGTATTTTTTTTTCTTTTGTGAAAAGATATATTATAACTGTAATACAAAAAACCTATAGATTATCTAAGTAGAATTATAATAAATTAAAAATTTTGTATAGGTGTATTTTAATGCTTCAATATGCATGGATTTTGAGAGATATTGCAATGATTAATGTTAATGTTTTTGGATTACTCACAAATATGGCATACATGGCTGTATTCTATTATTACTCACCACACACGGTACGAATTTATATTTCTCAATCAAATTGCATGATGTTGCTTTTTTCATTCTATCTTTTTTTGTGTCTTCTTTTATTTTTCATGTTTAAAATCACTAATTAGATAATTATTCATAATAGATGAAATTAGATATTTAAATTTTGAATACAAATATGAAATTTAAATTAAAAACAAAAAGTTTCATATTTATATAACTTATTTTAATTAATAACATTTCTAATTTCTTAATATTTTTAAAACAATAAAATTTAAAAATTTAAATATAATTATATTAAATAATAAAATCATATATATTCGTCTATAGTATAAGAAATATATATAAATATTAATTTGTATTGTTATTTTAAAAATAGTATCAATATTTTTTAAATAATTCATTTTATATTTATACATTTTAATTCATCGATTCATTTATAAATTTACGACGGATTCGATAGATATATGATTTACAACGAGATATATATTTTTATTAAATTTCAAATAATTATAATAAAATATAAATCGATAGTTTGATAAAATTATACCTTTAAAGAAAAACGAAAGTTTCTGCTGTACGAAGAAATTTCGGACAAATATTTCTAATCATATCAGAACCTGAATAAATATTTGACATCAAGTGTTCGCATTTTTAGAAAGATATACTTGCTTTGATAGGCAAGGCAACAACTTTTGTCATGGTCTTTCTCGCATATGCACAAGTGGAAAGTCCCGAGAAGATCGAATTTAGATTCGGTTTGATTGTGACAGTGTTATTATTGCTGTTAGTAGCATCTCCTCTCGTACATCTTGTAAGTATAATTTTTAAATTTTATGCATATTGTTCTATAAAATAAATAAATCTAACAAATAAAATTTTTAATAAAAATAAAATATAATATTAATTTATTGACATATTATTGAATATTAATAATGAATATTAAAAAATTTAAAAAATGACTACGTGTTTCACAAAAATAATTTTATCAATATAAATAGTTAATTCTTTTTCATACAATAATCGACGAGAAATTTTGCAATCGTTGCACAATAATTCTTTGTTGCGACAAGAAGTTTTAAAAAGTTATAAACCGTGGCAAATCATGCGAAAAATGTATAATCGTAACAATAGAAATAGCGAAGTTAGAATGAAAATTTTAAAATGTTAGAATTCATTGTTTCTGTAAGACTAATTATAATTATGTAAAATGTAAGATTTGAAATTAATATATAATTTTCTCAAATTTTACTCTTATTTATAATTGCGTCGATTTCTAGTTCATCGAGATATTTTTCGTGACATACGTCATCGAGTGTAACAATATTTAATTGAAATTCATTTTTAAACGAGCGATTATTTCTCCGTAATCTTTTAATTTAACATAGATATTTCAAATATATTACATTTTTTTCGCATTTAAAAAAATGACTTATGATTCTAAATTAGAGTTAATATATACGTACATATAAATACAATTTATTTAAAAATATCGATCAATAAATATAATATAAATTCAGATCTTTAGAAAATATGAAAATTTATAAAATAAAAAATTAAACGAAGATATTTTAATATATTAAAATTATAATTATTATTCTTTTCTTTTGTTTATCAGGGAGAAATTATAAAAACAAAAAATACGGATATTCTTCCATTTCCGCTTATATTTATGGGTACTATTGTCACATTTTTATGGTTATTGTATGGTCTTATAATTAATAACGTTTTTATAATCGTAAGTAAACTATCTGTTTTTTATCACTTTCAAGCAAATTATCTATTTTAAAAAATATATATTATTTTAATATAATACATTGTATGTTTTTAAAGTTTCAGAATTCGGTAGCTTTTGTTTTATCTTTGGCACAAATGTCGTTATTCGTAATATACCCATCAAAATCGAAAAACAAAGAATCCACACAAAAGAAAGCGGAATAAGAAAAATGAAATTGTAAATATCAAAAGCGTGTACATTTCAACAAACGTTTTATCTTGAGTTGTTAAAATTTTTCTACACGTATACTGATTAAAATTTATAAGTTTTAACAATTCCAATAGTTTTATTACATAATATACATCACATTATTAGCCACGACTATTGTGCCTATTATTGTGCCTAGACAATTTAAAAAAAAATAAATAAGATTTTTTTAAATTAAACGATATTTATATTTAATATTTATAATTAGATATTGTAAATTATATTGGTAATATTTTAAGTTTAGTTACAATATAAATATGAATTTTCACTAAATTATATTCCTACAAAAATGTATTTATAAACTTTTCAGGTTATATTTAAAAATTGTAAAAAAGATAATGTATTTTTAATAATGTATTTATAAATATTATTTTTAGTTATAAGTTCAAATTATAAAAATAAATTTACTCATTATACGTATATTAATAATACAATGATGAACAAGGCAAAAAGAGGGGGAGATCTCCCCTTTCAATCATTTAAGTCGTACGTTATATTTAAAACAGGAAGATCTGTTCAATAGGATAACAATGGTTCAAATGGCTATGAATTTTGGTAACTATCTACTTGGTAAGTACATTGACTTAAAGAAATCAATTTATTTTTAATTCAATCCAATTATAATAATTTTTTTTTTAACGTTTACTATTATTTATTCAATTGAATTTGCATAAATTTCTTTTTATAATAACAAAATTTTAATCCTTTTAATAACTTTATCGTTTATAAAAATTCTTTTATCTCCAAGTTCCGTTTTTAAATAATTTATCACATAAATATCACAACGGACAAAATTTCTATCGTATAAATCTTATCTTATCTTAATGTTTCTTTGAAAGAATTATGATATTACTCCGTCAACAAATAAGCGTTTCTTTTTCAATAGAATCTATTACGCAAATTGTACACGCTTATTAATACGCGCAAAAACGACGTAATACTTGTCAATGACTGACACAATCTTCGATGAGGAGCATGTGTGCGTTCGCGTTAGGCCTACTCTATTAAGAATAACCAAAGGTGATTACCATTTTACTTCTACGCGACCACGTTACGCAGCATGCAAATGCAACTCTCCTGGCAACTGGTTTCGTCCCCTTACGATTTACGTCTACGATGGCTCGTTAGTAGTCTCTCTTGGTATCGGCTTATTATATGAGCGACGTACATCATCGCTTGACTTTCTGATCGAGTTTGCTGGTTAATAGCAGGAAATAGCGGCCTTCTATGTAGACAGTAGCATGTCTGGTATATGCCGTGGTCAGTAACGTGTTCGATTGTTCGACGGACACTGGTATTCTGGTATGATTTCACGCGTGAAATAGAAAATAGAACTGAAACAGAAAACAATATAAGATGGAAAAAAATTTTTCCTCCTTTTTGCGCGCTTGCGATTTGAATTATTTAATAAAGTAAAATAAATGTAAAAAAAGTAAATTTGTATCGTAATATTTATTTATCGTTGCAATATGAAGAAGAAACGTTGGTGACGTGTGTTTCTCTATTGCATAAGTTTTTTCTTTTTTACGAACAATAGAGCGTTGTAAATTTTCGTTTTTTACGAACAATGTATTTGGATTAATTCAATCTCTTTGGCTGTTTTATCCCTGTTGCTGAAATATAATCTAAAGGAATATGGGATGAGGTGAGTGTACCTCTTTCGATTCTTTTAAAAATAATTACTTAAAAATAATAATTCTTATTAAAGATGCCTATTATATAATATCTTTTCATATTTTAATTTATTTTTCTTAATATCCTTTGAAATAAAAGCGTAGAAAGAACATTGAATTTTCATGTTATAAAAATATTAATATGTTAAATAATGATACCTAATGAATTTGTTATATTGAATTTGTAGAACATATAAGAAATTAAAAAGACATAAAATTGAAAATGCAATGTCGCACGATTTTCGAATCCGAATAAAAAATGCGTAGATTTCGAGATCGATTCGATTATCTTTCAATTTAATTTTTCCTAAACTACGAACCTCGCGCGACAATTCAACAGGTTAATTGATTTCGAATTAATTAACGGAAATTATAAATACAGATTCAACATGAAAAGGAAAAAGAAATGATTCCAAAATTTTCACCAATGGTGTACGTGTAGCATCTACATGTCAGAATTTGAAAAATTGAATCAATGAAAGGAAAGAAACAAAAATATAGAAAAGATTTAAGATAATTTTTACTTGTAAGAAAATGTCCACGAAGTTGGATCGCAAAGCCGGGAGAATCCTGCGCGCATCCATGAAATTTCTGTCTGCGCAGGATTCGTTTCGCGATTGATCCCGAGTGTGCGCGCCTCAGCTGATTGTCAGTACGTTCGTACACACAGGAAAATAGTTGGTTAACGTGAGCGTGGTTCTGTTGTGTGGAGGTAGGCTCGTTATAACACCTGCTGCATCCCCTGTGCCTCTCGTCACGTTCGAGTCATGTCGATCAGCTGATGGTTCGTATAACAGAACACATTTTCGGCTATAGAGTTTTGAGAACGATTAAGATCGCCTCTAAACCATACGAATGTAGTTTCCACGATTTAAGATACGTGTAATACGCGGTTAAGACAAACGTATTCCAAATAATCAAGCATCGTACATACACGTGCTCTTTTTGCTCTTTTATATCGACGATCGATTATTTCGTACAATATTTGAGTATTAATACGAAATGAATTGGAAAAATGAGAAAATCGCTTTTTCGTTTCTTAAATTAATTATATATATGCTCGTTATCGAAGAAATATCGTTTAAATAAAGAGATGTAACGAGAGATGTATGACACTTTATATTATAAAAAAATTGTGTTAAAATTAATTGTTTTATTTACAAAAATACAAAACATCCTTTTATCAATTAAATATGAAAAAAATTAAAACTTTTGCATTACATATCATTATTATACTCATACTATACTCACTGAAATATCGACAATTAAAATACCGATTGACAATGTTTGTTATGTATCATTATCTATTCGAGTTTAATTAATTAATTAAACTCCCTTAATTACTTTTTAATTGCAATTTAATTATTTTCCATACGGCGAATCTGTCGAATATTGAATGCTTGTAAAAAATTGTTCAATCACATCTCTACGTTATTAATCGTCGAAGAACATGTAATTTTTCAATCGGTTTTTCGAGGCGAATTTAATAAATTATAGAAGCCACGGAAAGTAGAACGTTTCCCTTTGCGTTCACATGGCAGAGGCCCATCCAGAAACGGCAGCCCTCTCCCATTAGACTTAATATCAATTTAGAGCACAATACAGAGTGTATTTCGATGCCGTGTAATTTGCTTGAACGTTCGTTAAGTATACCAGGACAATTATAACCGTATCCAATAACGACGAGGCCGCACGAGTCGGTCGAAATGGTTGCAACACGCGTCCTTAAGGATCGTATTAGCTTAACAATAAGCCAATGCTAAATTCGTGCATTTTCAAAAAAAAAAAAAAGGAATTAATATAAAACGGGCGAATGATAAGAAGACAGAGGAAAAAATAGTACGGATTTGCGAATCGCACGAAACAATGAAATAAAAATAGAATTAATCGAAGTAATTGTTCGAGATTGTTCCGATTCCGACCGTACGTGTCACGTCTCGATTCGAGAATTCTGTTTTAATTCGAAACAGAGGAGAAATTAGTAAAAAAAAAAAAAAAAAAAAATTGATTAGACATCCTCCAAGTGACGAATATGGGCCACGCTGTATCGAAATGTTACGTGACGGAACGGTGGGCAGATGTTACCCAGAGAGAGAGAGAGAGATCGCCTTTGGCGTGTTCGCGAAAACTTTCATATGACGAAAGTTTTTCCCAAACGGTCTAACGGTCGGACATTTCGCTCCTTATCATCTTTAAAATAAGAAGAAGAGAAAAAAAACAAAAGAAAGAGGGACGAAGTTTTCGCGAATTGCCTCCTTCTCCTTCTCCTCCTTCTCCTCCTTTCCCCCCTCCTCCCCGTTTCCAAACGTTACGAGTATTCTAACTTTTCCAGCCGGGAAGAATTGGACGTCTCTCTCGAAAAAGGACGGCTCGAGATTCGCCCGCCGCCCGTCTCGTGACTGGTCGACGGATGGCTAGGGGGAAGGGAGAGAGGGATGGGGGTAGATGAGCGGTAGAAGAAGAGGGAAGAAGGGGGAGTTGCCGGCCGGCCGAACTATTCCGTGGACACCGTCCCGCAGGACACGTGAATCCACGAAATGTGTAACAACGTAGCAGCGTCGTAACGAGAGAAGAGAGAGAAAAGAAAAAAGCTAGATCCACTCTCCCTTTCGTTTTCCTGCACCCACCACCTCTCACCACCCGTCCACGCCACTTCATTTTCCTGCCTGAGGATTCATTTTTGTGCGCGCGAGTATATAGTATCGGCCGCGTCTTTCCGCCCGCACAACTTTCAGAACGAGTGACGCAAGTGAAGTGTATGCACTGTCGATAGATCGTCCCTTGAACGAGGTGGCTATTTTACCACCTCTTACCATCCGTGTTTCCGGTTCTGACTGACCGATCGCTTCCATTCTTGTAGCAACGAGAGAGAGAGAGAGAGAGAGAAAGAGAGAGAGAGAGAGGAGGAGAGAGT